TCAGGTTAGATTATAATCATTTTTTATCCTATAAATAAGATCAAATTGCTTATAATATCGATTCATTTACAATTGTACATGCAATACTAATATTTTTTTTAAAACTAAAATAATTATATATGCGATACTTTTAAAAGCAGTCAAATTCTTTATTTATAAACAATTTTTAATTATATTTTATTACAATATAATATAAAAAAAGGACATAAAAAAAAAAATTAATCATTTTAAACTAATGAGATGCATAATACATTAACTAACTCCAAATAATTTATCTCTCTCTTCTTGTGAAAGCATCATTGAGGAATTACGAGACAAGGGCTTAGAATCGGGCAAATCTTCTCTTGATTGTTTATTATTGTTAAAACACAACTCAAGTTTACTATTCATGATTGCATCTGTTGATTCATAACTGTGCCCACTATTATTGTAATCATTCTAATATGGAAAAAAAAACATTAATAATAAAATTTCTTAAATTGATATAAGACAAAACATGAATCGAATACTTACCAAATATTTTTCTATATAATGTTTCATATGATCTTTTTTACACAATACACTTCGTAACTGAGAATTTAGCAAGATGTCGCAAATTGCCAAAGTGAAGGCACAGTAGTGGTTGGTCAACTCAGGAATGGCGGTTGTACTAAAGGTGGACCTTCCAATAACAGAAATCCAAGAAAGTCCCTCGTTGTTTACATCAAAAAGAGACTGGTAACATTTCAATACCTGGGGACTTTCTTTCAACTTTACAATATTTGCTACAGCGGCATTGCTTTTGAGAGGGGGCAGCTTCTCGCAACCAAAGACTTTCCAAATTGAAGAGCGAATGTTTTGCAACGCTGCTCCATGGTGGTTTTTTATTTTTTATAAAAGCTAAAAAAAAAATAAGATTTAGTATATTATTTATAAAATAGTTGAAAATAGCAAAAAAATATTTTTTTAGAGTACACCGGTATTCCCGTACACACAATTATTTTTTAAAAATTTATATTATATAGCTTTTACATATTTTATACACCTTCTACATAACCATGCATATTTTATGCACATCTTGCATAATCTTGCATAAATATACATAAATATATATAAATATGTACAAATATGCAAGATTATACAAGGGTGCATAAAATATGCATAGTTATGCAAGAGGTGCATAAAATATGCAAAAGCTATATAATATAAATTTTTAAAAAATAATTGTGTGTACGGGTGTACCAGTGCACTCTAAAAAAAATATTTTTTTGTTATTTTTAACTATTTTGAAAACAGCGATAAAAAAAAAGGTATTAAACAATTATAACGAGTAATATCGATAAATACAAATACAACCATTTAAAAAAAAAAGTTAGCATATACCTGGCTATACTATATACCATAAAACCTGTTTGTGAACTTATTTTCGCTCAAGTTCCTTATGAACTTGGGAAACTTCTCACGAAGGTAGTCCTTGAAAGCCGCCTTTAATGTACTTTGGGTAGGGTAGAGATCGCGTGAAAAAAGACGTTTTACAATACTATTATATACTTCCTGCAAAATTTAAAATAGCTTAAATAAAGCATTCAATATAAAATACTACATTAATAATATACTTATATCTAAAACCTTTGCAGAAAGGTCCTGCTTGTGGCTTGTCTTTTGACACCTTATTTCTTCTTTAATTTTCTAGATTTCATCTTTCATCTAGAATATCATAATGTACAGCTCCTTGTTTTGTGCAAATATCAGCTTATTGACCTCACGCTAGTAGGAGCGAACCAAATGCTCTTTAAGTTTTTTAGGTAGAAAAAAAAAAAATAAAAAAAAAAATAATCAAAAAAAAAAAAAAAAAAATAGTAAGCCTTGACAGCTAGCATCTAAAGATCAAAAAAAAAAAGGCAAGTTTATATACCATTATGATTACGATTTCATGACTGATTCTGATTAGTAGATCAGCGATCTCATGATCGGGATCGAGATCGTAATCATGATAAATACTGCTGTGGCGATAAAGATCTATTCCGTTCGATTGAATGCGATCGATGACGGGACCGAGGAGGCTATTGTTGTCAGGATTGGGTATTTGGTCGCAACTGAGTTTGTTGTTTACCTTTATTACTCATTCTTGAAAATTTTTCATGTGCACTTCTAAAACTTCTGATTGATGAATCTGAATCATTATCATAAGTATTATGGTGACTAGAGATATTTTGTAGTAAATTAGAAACAATCAATTTGGATCGGTTGGGTTGGATAAGAACAGCAGGATAAGTGATATTATTAGGTAAATTGTTGTTAGAAGGTAAGTTATTGTTGAAAATATTGGAAGAAGAAGAAGCATTGTTATTAGAAGTATTGTTGGAATCATTGTGATTATTGTTGGAAGCATTGTGATTATTGTTAGAAGCAATGATTATTGTTGGAAGCATTGTGATTATTGTTGAAAGTGTTGTGATTATTGTTGGAAGTGTTGTGATTATTGTTAGAAGCGTTGTTATTATAGTTGGAAGTGTTGTTATTATGGTTAGAAGTGGCAGTATTGTTATTAAAAGAAGTGTTGTTAGCAGAAGCATTGTTATCCATTTCAAAAATTTCAAAAATTCTAAAAAATGTTTTTACCTTTTTAAATACAAGAAACGATTATATTTATATATCTAGAAAATGAAATAATAAAAAGTATTATATGATGATCTTAATCATTATATAGGAAAAAAAAAAATTGTGCTTATTTCATTTGTATTTTTGTCAATATGTAATGATGGTTTATTGTATCTAAAAAATGAAGTAATAAAAATTAATGATCATATTTTAATTATTACGTAGAGAAAAAAAAGCAAAAATATACTTATCTCATTTGTTGTTTTAGTCATTTAGCATGACAATTTACTATCAATATATGTGTAATAGCAATATGCTGAGTTTTATCTAATTAATTGTAATTTCTTCTAAGATTTGAACCATATTAAAATAATATTAGACGTAATATAATGCTAGTTTTTCGTTATATAGTATAATACATCATGTAAACAATTAGTATGCTTTGTTTTGATCGAAGAAAAAGAATTGCTTAAAATCGATATAAATCGATTAGAATCGTTTGATCTATCTTTAAATTATTGCTCTCTGGCTACATCCTTTATCTTGCTTAATAACCATTTCTTACTTTGATTTTTCATAATCAACATATTGCTTTAATTATTCTTTCTTTTCTTTTCTTTTCTTTTCATTCGCTTTCTTTTCTTTTTCTCTTTTTCTATCACTTCACTTCTTTATCTTTTTTTAAATCCAAGGTAACAGAATCCTGTCCAGGTTCCGGTGTTCTGGCATCCCTTTGACTTCTCTTATCGCTAGTTATCACTAATTTTCACATTTTATCCTTTATTGCTACTTAGACTTCTTATTTTTTTCATTCACATCAAGAAATTTTTAAATAGAGTGGATATCGATTACCAGCCACAAAGGCGATTGCCATTGATTAGGAAAATCAACAATAATTAATATTAGCAGCTAATCGATATACAATTGATTAAAAAATAATCAATTTTAATTTAGTTTTGATATCAATCAATTTCAATCAAAATGATTCTAATAGATTTTAATTAGCAGCTTTGTTGTCAATCAATTCTAATTAGTATCACTAGTAATTGACAGAGTACTGTTTATCGATTAACATTTCTTTCTGTTAATTGATTGCAAACTAATTTAAAAATTTTCTAATGCACTTCTCATTTTTTTTTTTCCATTTGCTTTCATTCTCTTTTTACTCTGTTCTTTTTATTTAATCACTTTTATTCTCTATTATTTTTTTAATTTCCAAAATGGGTTGGCTATGTGAGTATTGTGATCGAACTTTTTCAAAACCTTATGCCCTAACACAATATATTTCACAAAAACATTCTTACCACCAAAATTCAACAAATCAAGCTGCTCTTACTGAACAATTAGATGATAGTATTTGGAAACTTCCAGAATATAACTATTTATCTTTGGGATATAGTTCTAACGAATCTATAACATACAGGTAAATTGTTTAAAAAATATTATTTAAGTTATAAATCGCTATTAAACGATTATATTTGTATAGAGTAAAGTTATGTCAACATTACCTCAATCCGGATTAGGCTCTTTTAAGGATACAAAAAATAACCTTAATGAAATATATGAGGTAAATTGTTGTTAATAGTTAAGTTATAAACGTTAATTAATGATATTATATTATTTAGAACTAAGATGCATTAGCGTCATCTCACTTCGATATAGAAACAGAGCCTCTTTCAACAGACACATCCTTTTTAGTAGAAGATGAAGAGATTGATCCCAAAGACTATAAAGAAGCTTCGTTTAAAAATGCTTATGATGATTTGCAACATCCGCATATCATCGAATGGCCTAACGATGCTTATCGAGAATTTATAGAGATAATCAATAAGCATCAACTGTCAAATTCAGCCGGTGATGCTTTTATAAAGTTCTTCAATAAATTTTCCAATTTAGAAATTTTACTATTGCCATCATCAACTAAAATTGGAAAGGAATTTCTAGACAATTCTATGGTCCCTTATATGATGTTCAAAGAAATTCCTATCAAGATGTTTTAAGATTTATTATCGATCATTAATAAAGACTTTAAAATCTTTATTAATAATCGATAGTATTAATCAATCATTGGTACTTAGATATGAAGAAAAATGGAAAACAATAAATGGCATTGAAGATCATATCTTTGAAGAGTAGTTCAATTGCGACTGATAGAAGCGGGAAGAATCGGCATCACTTCTTGGTCAATATTTATTATCAATCATACTCTATTCTGATGTGATAACCCTAAATCATATAGGAAAATCTTCTGGGCATCTTGTTTTTTTATCAATTGGCAATATACCTAATTCAAAGAGAAACAAACCAAAAGCAAAGGCTTTAATCAAATATCTTTCAATTTTAAAGGCCAAAAATACTAAAACAAAAAACTCTGAAAATTTCTAAGCATTACAAAGAGATGTTTTCCAGAAGTGTATAGCGATTCTTTTTAGGCCCATAATTGAAAACCTAGAGCTTCATTTTGTTATTCATGGTAGAATAATCATCTTTGTTCTACAAATTTCAATGATTTTAGCCAATTTGGCTAAAGCTAAT